GTGATAAATATTGCCAGTTTGGAGAAATAGTTTATGCGGTAAAACTGATGCTGTACAGCAAAAAGAAAAATCTAAATATATGAAATTACTCTCGCACATTTATTTCACCTTTATGCCTGAACATATACTTTCTTGCAAATACACCCACCTTGTCAACAAATTTATCCTGCATATGCTTTAAAGAATAGGTGCTCACCGGGTGCATGCGTATGTGCGTGTGTGTGCATACTTACCATATACACCAACACACACACACACACACAGACGTAATTCAACTCTCTCATATCCTTGTGCGCAGAGGGAGGTAGATTGATTCCCTGCCCTGGTGTGAAGCTGATGACTAACAAAACGGCTCTTTTTCTCTTTTGGCATCCGACAGCACCGGGGTGGCTGCGGGCTCTAAAAGCACCTATACACTCTGCGGTTTATTTTTGAACTGTCCAAGGTCATTGTTAACTCTGACAGATCACAAAAGCAGTGGGGGCGGGTGGGGAGGTTTGGATCCTCAATCCCCTATTCAAAACCGCTATCAGGGACATCTTGACCCTGCCGTGCAAGGTTAGAGCTGACACACATTCTGTACGGGTGCATGTGCGTGTGTGGTCTCGCTGTAGCACGCTCAGGGGTAGGAGGGGCGAGTGAAAGGAGGCTTATGGATGACAAAGTGCAGGTACTCTTTGATCCCCAGCCCACATAGTGTGCTGAAGTGCTTTATAGTGAGGGGAATTATCTTTGATGTCCACCTGAGGACCTCCTGAGCCAAAGTTTACCTTTCAGATCTGACAGGGATCTCACACACGGTTTAATTGGAGCAGTGTACTGGTTTGTTTAGTGCTCAAGCATCACCTCTGTTTGGGAAACATATTGTCCTAAAGCCAACCAGTGCATTTGACCGCAACAAAAGTTGGAAATCCCAAACTTTAGAGCAAAACTTTTCCATTTAAAACTTTCATTTCTTCTCAGTTTAGCTTGTTTGTTCTCAGGGGTTTAGGGCAGATTCGTTATGCCAGTGTTGCTGTAATTCATCTTTGCCATCTGAGTGCTCCGGCAGTGGAAAAATTAACATGGAAGTTACAAAAACTGCAGTTCCTCTAAATGCCTTGCTCCAAGAGCGAGTCACATGCAAACATCCCCGACTTTACAGAACAGCCTGATATAAAAACAGATTTGGTCTTCATGAAGGGTTTCCTCTTTTGTGACAACTGTAGTGTAGGTGAATTTACTTTATAAGTCATCCATTTAGGCACTGATGAGACCTAATTAGCAGCTATAGGCTATTGGTTGTAGTCTTTGTGGAGTATTATTACTGTAGCTGTTTCACAAATGTTATTGGTTACTGTGTTGTGCAAACCACCCAAGTCTGTGCTCCCGGTTTCCTGCAATGTACCCGTGCAGTCTATGGATGAAGCTCACTGGTAGCTAGTCATATCTAGCTTCAGCTTTGAGTGTCTGAATGCAGGAGAAAATTAAAGGGACATTTCAGCAGTTATAATAGCTTTGTTTTGTTCATTAGTTATTATTTCATTTCCATTTTTAGGTTCAATTTGATTACATTTGGTATCCAGAGTGAGTATAGTTTTGTTTAGTTTTTATTTTTTAAAAATGTTTAATTTTATTGGTTTCAGCTTCAGTATTAATTGTTGTAATTGTATGAATTCATTATGGGAAAGTCATTTTAATTTTAAAAATACGATTATAAAAGTTCTGAATAGGTATTACAGTACAAACACCTGGTTTTTATAGACACTTGCCTCACATCTCACACAAATAATAGTATTTAATTTTAAATTATTTTAAATTATTATATATAATATTGTTTCAGTTACATTTTTAAGTAGTTTTATTTTATTTCAGTAAACTGCGGGTTTTTTTGTATGGTATTATTTGTTTTTTGTGCCTGTCACACAGCAACAACAGCAATAAAGAAGTAAAGTCATAACTCCAGTAGTAAGACTGGAGTTATGGAGTTATTGTTATAAGTGTCTTATATTAACTCCATAACTCCAGTCTTACTACTGGAGTTATGGAGTTATTGTTATAAGTGTCTTATAACAATAAAGAAAAAAATAACATCAGTTTTTTAAAAAAAAAGCTGAAATATTAAGAGCATCCAAATAAATTACCGCACGTTGCACAGACACCAAAAATGGTTAAAAAAAAACAAAACAAGAGATAATAATTATAATAACATCTTTATTTACTTACTTAATCTTTCTTTAAATAAAATATTGAGTACAAAAGACCTCTGATGGTATTTTGTCATATCTCTATGGTCTGTGTTTATAACTGAAGCTGCTCTCAGAGTTGAACACTGAGTATTTTCCTCAGCATCCTCCTCTGCAGAATTTCCACAGAAGACTTCAGCTCTGCTCCCAGGACCAGCTTTCTTGATGAGCTTGTTGAGTTTGTTGGCATTGGCTGCCTTCACGCTGCTCCCCCACTAAAATACGATTAGCGTCTAACTAGTGCAGTGCATTCTGTAGCAGACCAAACAAGACAAATGAGCAACAGAAGGGAAATATTTATAAATCAGCGTACAGCGCAAAAAAAAGTAGAAGAGAAAAGTCATGTCAGTTTGATTAAATATACACAAATATTATGAATTACAAATTCCTTTGGGTGCTTTGCTTGGTGTGCAGTAAGGAGGAGGAAGTAGCTTTGGAGTAAGTAATGTTGGGGCAGTGTTAGCTTTTCATTGTCACTGTGTGTGTTTATGTGTGTATGCAGCACACAGGAGATAAGACTATACTTAGATTCACATGTGTTTTTAACACTAAAGTGACAACTCTGGAGACTAAAACGAGCAAGAGGGTTAATTTATGGCCTCATTATAGTTTACACAGGAGCATTTTTAATGGCTCTGTGTTTATTCATCATTTTCTCTATCTTCTAGTGTAGTTATGGTTTTTCAGTTATTTTTGTTAAAAGAAAGAATTAAAATTTACAAATAAAATTGCATTTATTTACACAATCTGTAAGGCTAGCAGTTCTTTGTGTCAGTTTCCATATATGTGTATATTACCAAGCCCTCCAATCAATTAATAAATATTTGTCTATGTAAAGAT